CCGCCGCTGCCTACTCAGCGCGGCGCCATCTTGTCGCGGCCGCCGGGGCCGCCGCGTTGCTCTGGGGCTGCGGCCGCTTGGGCATTTTTTTGCCCCGAGTGGGGCTGTGTCCGCCTAGGAAGGCGGCGAAAAGGCGTCGTGTGGCACAACAGCTGCTTTGGCACTGAAATTCCTGTGGGGAAACTTCTGAGAGCTGGGAATAAGCCATTACCCTCCCCCCGCTGCTTTTTTTTTTTCTTCATCTAAAAATACTGTTTTATTTTTAGCCCTGAAACTCCTTTTAGAACACGATGCAGCCTGAAAACAACAACAACAACAACAAAGAATCAAAGCAAAGAAACTCTCTTTAGCTGTTACATACTATGGAGGAAATAACTGTTTTCAGCTGAAACAACTTCTCCCAACAGGATGACTTTCCCCCCCAAAAAATCAGAATGAGAACTCCCCCTTAGGAGAGCTGAGGAAGCAAAGTTTGCTAGCGAGCAGCTGGTGGCTGATGAAGTATGTAGTGATACCCTTAGTTGCTACCAGACAGCTTGGGCCTGCGTGGATCATGGCGTGGGTTGGGAGAGATGCAGCTGTGAGCCTCAAGCTGCTGCTAAGACCTTTCAAATTCATTTGGGAAGGGGCTGTGCCCACCCATCAAACATGAGTAGGAGCGCTCAGAAACACTCTCATGTCCTCTAAGGCAAGCTACGTCCAAGATGGAACACTTTTAAAACTTACAGAGATTTTTTCTTCTCCAGTTAGCACAAACGTTACACTATTGAGAAGGAAATTTCAAGAGAAAAGGGGAAAATGCCTCATGTGCAGAACTTAGTGTTTTTCTAAATTAGTTCCAGGAAATTCAAATGGTATTTTTATGCAGCAATAAATGGCTCTGAAGTCTTCTGTGACACTCTTTCGAGCAGAGCAGGGAGACTGTTATGAAAATACAGGAATGTGTCTGTATTCCTGCATGGTTTAATCACACCACTTCAGCTGCTGCACTCTAGGCATGAAACCAAGTCACCAGCTAGTCTGACATTTCAGGTACCAACGCTATGGTGTATTTTGAGGTCCTCTGGGATACCAGGCCAGCTTCCCTGCACTAGCAAAAACCCAGGTGTGGGGAAAAGGAATCTGTAACCCACCAAAAGGCATCCTTATTGGCCAGCCTTTTCCACACCATCCTAGCGTGGCGCAGGAGCCTGCCTGTTTTGCTGTAGCGGTGGAGCTAGGAACACACAGCAGAGCTTTGCAAAGGTAAATAACCATCATACAGCAGCTGAGGAGATGTGGCAGACACTGTCATCTCCCCTCTCCTCACCCCCAGTTTTAGTCACTATAAAAAGCAGCTACTCTGCTGATGTACCTAGTAGTTTGCCTGAGAACAGTCAGCCTCATCTTAACAGTCTCTATCTTCCATAGGAGTGGTGAACAGCCCTCACATGTGAAGGCCCTGACCCTAATAATAATAATGATAATAATAAAAACAACAGACCAGTCAGGCAGGTGAACATCTGATCATAGTTTTTAAAGTCAGCTGTTGTGATGCATCTGTGATCTCAGACAGATTATGCTGAAAGAAACACTGGCACAAATACACTGCTAGTTTTGAGACTCCTGCTCTCAAACTGCAAGCTAAGTCTGAAAGGGAACAGTAAACCCCTCTGGTCACTCCCAGTCTGCCTTGCCAAGGGATTTGTTTGGACACTCCCAAAAGGTTAAAATTCAGTTTGGTCACACAGTTAAAGGCTGAAGAACGAGACAAAGTGCTCCTAGTCATATTGTTTCCCTGAGCTTCCAGATGAATGATTTGAGTCAAGTCTTCTCCCTTCATGAAAAACTGCAACAGTGTTTTTTTGGTTGTTTGCTTTGTTTTTGAATCAACCATCTCTCTAGGGTTTCTCTGCTCAGACTACTCTTCCCTGCCACAACACACACGGTCACTTGGAGCTTGTCAGCAATACCAGGCTGGTATGGATGGACCAGCAGGTATCAGAAGCCAGAGCTGCAATTACCTGGACCTATTAGAACTGCCTGTGGTGATACTAGGCATAAAGTAACATGAAGAAAGACATAATATCAAGGTCTGGAGCATTTAAAGTACAGCTGAACCTAAGTAAGATTGAATAGGTCCTGGAGGCCTCTAAGTATTGGACTGGAGATTTATCTAAGCTTTTTTATTTTTCTAGCACTCTAACATAACATAAAAACATTGTTATATAGCCTAATAGTTTTGAGTCAAACAAAACAATTTAAAGAACAATTAATTTTCAAATGCCAGCTGTTGCAAAGCTAATTTCAAAATTTATATTGCTGCACCTTCAAAAAAAAAAAAAAAAGCATGTACTGTTCACTGCATTAAATACAGGCACCAGCTAACAGCATCTATTTGAATCAAGTGAAATACTCTAGCAGAAAATCTAACATTAAGAGACCCGACAATCATCCTGCATGTGCCAGAGAAGACAAATCTCACAGAAGAAATCTGGGCTGAGAAGAAAACTCCAATCAGTACAGCAGACAGGCTGGGCATCCTTTGGGAAAAGGGCTTGTCAAACAGCATCCACCCTTGGGGAGTAAGACTATAGTAGGGCCAGACACGCTGCTCATTTCCTTATTAAAACCTGTCAGCTGGGAGTAACTCAAGTCTCTTAAAATGGTCACTTTGGAAGCCCTGCTTCCACCATCCCCTCCTCTTGCTCATGGGCTCCTCGCCCCACTTCACGTTACCTGCTGCTCTGTGCAGAACTGCCACACTGAGGCATTTGCTAAATATTAGGAGCTGCAAAAGGAAAGTACAGAGCAAGGAGCCTTCACCTCAGCTTTGCCTGACCCCAGGGCCCCAAGGGCTCAGAAGTGCGTGGTAAAGGCCTGAGCAGAGGCGTACAAGATCAGAAAGCCGCACTGAATGCAGCATCGACCTTTTCCACCTCAACATGCCCAGCACAGTGCCCAGGTAGGCCTCCTCCTTAGCCCTCCCTGCTAAGCTTAGCAGATCAGCACCAGCCCAGCACAATTCTTGGAAAGAGCTGCCAACTGTCACACACTTAATTTCCTCCTATAAAGACATGCGGACAAAAATGCAATGAGAAATGTCCCACCCTGGGACATGACTGGGGCCGATATACAACGTCTATTAGAAGGTAGAAGCCTGACACTGTTCAGATATCAACCTTTTGCAGTGGGCAGTGTTTCAAATATTTGCACAGCCACATCCCTTTTGGAAGGATTGCAAACATTAGGGCTTTTCCCAACAGGACTGCTGTATAGGAGTGGACATCGTATCAATAAGGGGCTGAACACTTCCCCCTTTATCCAAGTCAGGACACCAGCCTTTGGGGCTCAAACAGGGGCACCGTCAGGAGCAGGATTGCTACAGGAGTTCTTGAACAAAACAGTATATTCAAGGACCTATAATACACCAGAGGCAAGACTGGAGATAACAATGCTTTATTTGTACATTTCAGCAACAGGAGAAATAATTGAAGATGCAGTTGTCTGCTTTGTTGTAAAGTATAAAAACATTTAATTATAAATATTTTAGCTAAAAAAGCGTGATTTTATAAAATATAATCTGTGAAGATATATACACAGTTTAATTGTTTAGTGATTCTCTCACCTGACATTAGAGTTTTTTTTTTTTTCTATTTATTATTCCATGCTCACAGTTTAGTGCTCACAGTTTAAGCAAAACAGACAAGTGAAAAGACAACTGGTGAGTTTTGTTTTGGAAGGAAACAAAAATGCACAAAGTGGGGCAATAGCAGAGGCAGAACTTCAGCAAATCCATGTTTAGAGAGGTCTCGCAAGGGAACACCATTTCTTTTGCTGTGACCACAGCATTTATGGCATTTTAACATCTGTGGACAGGTCTCCTGTGTTTTTGCAAGTAAATGGCTAAGTTTAGTGCAAGCTTTCTAAATTCAATCCAGCTAAATGCGCTAACTGGGCTGCTGTTCCCTTCTTGAACAGGAATTGCTCAGTGTGCTGGGCTGGTTTTATCTGTCATGGCTCTAACGAAATCAAAGTCACCTTTACAATTCAGGATATGAGCAGACTTCCAAAGATAAAAACCCAGAGTGCCATCCAGTCTCATGATCCATCTGGCAATATCCCTTAAAAGCTGTCTGCTCAAACTCTAAGGCTGGAAAATACAATGAAGTTGTACAGTACACTAAATATGATGGAATGTGAAAGATGTATGGTCAGGCAACTCAGTTTTCTATTCCTTCTTTAAGTGAGAGAGACAACTTCCTACTTTCAAAGTCTTGAAAAAAAATCATGCCTCTTATTGAAAGGTTTCTTTCTATGGCACTTCAGTGAAGGAAAAGGGGAAGACACCAACATGATATTGGGCAGCAGAAAAAAATCTACACAAAATCATAATTAATTTGATCCATGTCCCTAGTAACCATCTTTCTATTCACAGTGTTCGCACAGTGCCTGTGGCACAGGGCTTTGAGGAAGACATGAGAAACAGTCAAGGATGCGTGACAACACCCAACAGCAGTACAAACATACAGGAAACACATCTGTACTTTGTACACCCTGATTTACACAAGACCTTACTACTTGCCTGTAAGCAAGGAATGAATTAATAGGGAATGAAGAGGAAAATGGCGTATAGAAAAGAAGGAAAGAATGAAGTAGGCAAACAACACTTGTCAGTGCTCACCCACAATTTGCTACTTGCTGTTTCAGCTTCAGGGTGATGCGCTTCTGATGGTTCTGAGCAAACAGCATGTACACAGCTCTTATGGTTCACACCGCTATGAGTGCGCAGTAACTGCAAGAGTTGTGTCCTTAGCAATTCAGAAGGATCTTCAGAAGAGGAAGGCTAGCAAAGCTGGAACGGGTTTCAGGCAGGATCCAGGCCGTACTCTCCAGGTAGAACCCTGGTCTGGGAAACGTACCAAGTCACATGCGATCTCAGAGCCCGTGTTGACCAGTCTGCTACTGGCTAAACGCAGACTTCAACTCCCTGAAAGCTGCTCGGCGGTTTCTCCTTTCCTCCTCTTCCCGCTTCCGCTCATCCTGCTCAGCTTTTATCTCCGCTTCAAACTTACTGGCTGAAGACAGAGCTTGAGCCTAAGGAAAAGAGGAAAAATAATGAAGAGTGCGCAAGCCTGGTGTCAGAGGCAGAGCAGTCGGAGCTGCTCTCAGATGAGCAGCACACGGTGCCGCACATGCCCCTTGCTGGGAAGCTCTGCCAGGAGGGGTCAAGTGTTAATTATGCTGCAGCAGTTGGGTACTTGCACCAAGCACCCGTTAGCTCAGTTGACTGACATCAATGCAGGAAAGGTCATTTGTGATTACATCGCTAACAAGAGACCAAAATCATGCCATCAGTTCTAGGTTAAGTACGTTCTTTCTGTGGTCAACCAGCACAGCTTAAGCTGTGAGTATACACTGATAGAAACTGCTGCAGAAAACAGTTCTGAATCACAGCCAAATTAGAGAACATCATACTACATCACAGATAATCCGCAGATCAAAGAGACATTGTTTATTTGCTGGCTATTTTTCCAGCCTTCTTTCCAGCTTTCATCTGAGTACATCTGCTGTGCAATAGCTGTGCTATGCTCTTGGGAAAAAAAACTTATGTAAACAGGCAGGATTATTTTCTAAGAGAGCTTTCAAAAGGGGTGCTTTGTCAGCTTCAAACGGTGCACAGCTCTCTGCCAGCCCCAGGACTCTGTGCAGTAATTCTGATTCCAAAGGTTGCACAGAGCTGCTCAAGAAAGGCGGCTGAAATCCTGCACACCAAAATACTTTGTGTACCACCAAGCTCAGAGTGTCTCAATTGTTGGGACTTTTGCAAAATGAGAAAGTCAGTCCCTGTGCACTAGTTTCCAAGATGCTTTTGAGTTTAAAAGGATCAGCCAGCTTGTCAAGCGCCAAGCCAGACACAGATGGACCAGTCAGCTCTAGCAGAGTCCCCTACTCCCGAGACCGTGAAGCAAGTGGTTTGAGCAGGGCCTGCACATACAGAACATTCTTGCATTGCTCTGTGCCACACCATACCTTGGCTTCAAAGAAGTTCTTGGCTCCCTTGACTCCTTCGATGGAGACATCTATCTCCGACAGCTTTGCAAGTGTCATCAGGCCACTGTCCTCCTCAAGCTCCCCAGCTGCAGCTCTTTGGAAAATCAGCAGGAACTAGCCAAAGAGAGAGGAAGCATGCAAATCTTCACTAAGGTTCAAACAATTTTAAATGCAAGCAGTACATACATTCACCTGCAGGGCAGGGATTTACATTCTTAGCAAAGGAAAGCAGATCGAATAAACCAAGGGCCACCATGGAACTTTGGCTCCAGCACACGGCTGCTTTGGACTCAAGCAGCAAAAACTTCGAAAGAAGAGTGATTTGCTATGGAGGAGGCCCATGCATGAGAAGCACACCATCTCTCCACCTGCCCAGTTCTGTATCCCTGTCCTCCCACCAGCTTCCCCAACAATTTTGTGGTCTCTGATCACATCCTACAATGAAGGCAGGAGACCAAAACCAGCCCTGGCACGAATCTGAGCCCAAATCCTGCTACCCTAACCAGCTGCACTGGGGCGGCAGCACGTTCCTCAGAGGACAGCAGTTAAAGCCATATGCTGGAGAGGGACGGAGGGGCAGCCTCCACTGGGAGCCCTGCCTTACGTCCTTCCAAGCCTCATACAGGAGAAAATTAAGGCCAAATACACCAAGACGGGAGGTGGACACTTCAAATCACGCCCTGTCTAGGACATGGGAGAAGCTATGTAACCTGTCCTTGGAGCTACGCCTCAGTTTGTCCCAGGGAGCCCAGACTTACTTAGTTAAAGTTGGGAAAACGTCTGCATTTCTGTTGTGTCAATTAACTAACATGGAAGAGAGCTTCCCTAGCACATCTGCCAACAGCCAGGACAGACATGTACCCTTGGGACCATCAGCAATGACTTAAGCAAGTATCACTGCTACAGAGCAACTTGTTTTGAAACCTTTGTCTTGTACCAGACAACCCAAGAAACTAGAGCAGGGTATATTTCAACAAGCAAACCATAAAGGGAAACAATCCCACCACCAGCCATGCTAGGGGTCAGAAAAGCATATTTTCTATAGTAAGGACAAGACCTGCCTGCTTGAAAATAAAGTTTTTTTGCATCTCTTAGCTGATATCTGAACTCCAAGATAAGATACGGATGATTTAAGGGTGATAGTAGAGGTCTTCGGAGTCTCCCTCACCCCTAGCAAGGGGTCTTGGCACTCAGCACAGCACTGAAGGAACAGGCAGGGCTGCTGTGAAACCCACCTGCAGGGAATGTCCGAATCCCTGGTGCTGCCCTCCCCAAATCCCCCCGGCCTGGGAGTCTGCTCGCTCTTACCAAGAGCCCACGTTACCCCAGAGGAGGGCAGCAGAGCCCCAGCATCTGCGCTGCAGCCAGCCCAGCTCGCTCTCCTGCTTGGGGAGCCAGCAGGAGCTGATGGAGACGCGGAAGCTTGGGAAGGTCTCCCCAGAGGAAGGGTGGGGAGGTGACGGCAGGCCTGGCTGCCCTCTCACAGACTCAGCGTTACCAGGTTCTATACAGCTGCCCCGTAACCTGTGTGTGCTCAGCATGGAGCAAAGCCGACACTCGGCAGAGACAGCCTCCCAACACACACAGCACATTAAACGAGGCTCTGCTGAACAGTCTGGCCCACCCAGATAGAAACCATCAGCCCCCAGGACATCCTCTTGCCCTGCTCAGATCCGCTGGGTTCGGGCTAGTTCCTCTCCTCTGCCACAGAGCAGGGAGCTCTCGCAGCCAGGCTGGCATTAGTCATGGTTCCTCCTTGCAGTTCTGCTCCACCCGGCCAAGTCCCACTTCCCGGCATCTAAAAAAGGGCGGTGGAAGCAGAGCAATCCTGAGGTCTGGTGCAGCTGCCACATGGCGAGGCAGTGGAAACACCCAGTCACAAGAACAAGTGTGCATGAATCATGCTGAAACCAGGGCTGGGGCAGCATTCCTCTGGCTGACAGGGGCCGCGGCAGCCGGGAAGAGTGGGCTGCACCGGAAGGCACGAGGAGCTGAGTCAGCCTCAGAGGCAGCCCAGGGACCAGGCAGGATTGCACTGCCTGTCTCGGGAGCTTGGGAGCAATGCTCTTCCACACAGCTCACCTCGCTGCTTACTCACCCTCCAGGTATCAGGCGTCCCTAGACAGGGAGCCTCAGCAACTGTCTTGCAATTCCCTGAGCAGTGCAGGAAACCACAGTGCAGATGTGCTGCTCTTCCTGACTCTCGGCTCACATGCCTTGTTGGTTTGAGACACTTAAGGCTGAGCTATACGACACATCAGAGAAGCCACAGGAAAGAACGCTGCTACTTTTTAAACTCTTGCTCTAAAGGAGCAGGACATACTCCTTACCCCTGCTGACCTGGTGCAGACCAAGATGTATGCAGTCTTGCATCCCTAGCAATCTAAGGCCTATCCTGCGGTGCCCAGTGTCCAAGAAATGTCCCAGTCAGTGCCCCATGGGCTCTGCATGAATCCCTCGGGGTGCAAGGGGAGGTAATACACCAACTGTCCGCAGCAGCTTTGCAGCAGCTTGCCAAGAAGCAGAGGCACCCAAAACTGTGGTTTGCACCAACCCTGCTAGCAAACACAGTGACGTGGGGCAGCATTCAAACACTTGAGTGTGGCATGAGGGAGCGTGGGTGGATTTTCAGAGGTTCTAGATAACAGCTTAAGTTAGGTATCACTATTACCACAGGAAAATACAGCTAATTGCTGTAATTAGGTAAACCGATGTTCACAATTTTTCCCCCGCTGTACCTGAACTTTAAGCCTAAACTGTTTTACTCAGCTTATGGAAATTGTCTAGTGCAGGTGACTGACAATGCCTTGAGGGACTCTGGAAGGTCAACAGCAGCAGCTGCTCTCCTCAGGGGCCACCAGTAAGTCAGCCCGATACAAGGTTGCTTTCCAGCTCACATGCACAGGGAGGACCAGTACTATTCAAAGCAACAACAAAAGGTGGCTTGTTGCAAGTGAAAGGGATCCCTGAGATTCTCTGGCCCAGCCTAGAAGCCTATCTCCCAGCCAATACATCGGGGCTTGTTATCCCTAGAGAGGCAGGGAGGCCTCCAGTGCTCCAGCTACACCCTGCAAGCTCAAATATTCATTTTAACCAAGGTTTCTCCTGTTGTCACAGCACTCCAAGGCAGCTTGATCACCCTCCCCATGCCTGCTGGTCACCACCAACGAGAATGGGAGCAGGACAGGGCCGTGGTGGCAGGTTCAGCCCTCTGCACCCACTAGGAAGCAGAGCCAGACCTAGAGCAAGGCGGGAAGCACCCTGCTCCTCTGCCACGGGAGGCTTTGGGTGCGTGCCAAGCTGCTGTGCTCCAAGTGTAATCAGTTCCCGGAGCTCTGCTGGTGGTGTTGCCTCATTCCAAGCCGCGTGCCACGGAAGCTTGTTTGCCTGACCGTCGCTGTGCATCTGGCCGGGTGCTGCAGCAGCCCCAGCTACCATGTGCCACGGGCTGGCAGCACCCAGAGCCCAGGCCACCTGACAGGCACCCACACGCAGGGAGCTCTGCTCCAAACAGGCGGTGGCAGAAGGGGGGGTTTGGCACCACTTGCACAGCACTGCCAGGACACAGCAGCACCTTCCAGAGCCCCAGGGCTCTTTCACAGCAGGGAGCATTTGCAGGAGTGCCCGGAGGCCATAGCATGTGCAGCAGGACATAGGGCTGCTCAGGCACATGCAGGCACTGGCTGCCTCTCTGCACTGAGATCTGCATGGCCTCCCACGCTCGTCTCTCCCAGCCTGACCCAGGGCCAAGGACACGACACCCGTCCTGCTCCGCTGGATTCTTTGCTGCCCTGAGGAGGACTTTTTGACTCCAGAGCAGCCTGCTTTCACCTCAGACTAGGCACGTAGCCTTCTCCGCTCAGGGCAGCTGCTGGCTTAGAGCTTTGCTGGCACAAACTCACTAACTTGCCTCTCAGATTTCTCTCTCTGTACTGGCCTGGCCCCATAAATCTGAGTCTTTGTGTTTTTGTCTTGGGCTGCTGACTTTACAACAGGACTGGAGCCTGTGGCCCTGCCTGGCCCCACAGCCTTTTGGCTCCCTCTGTGCCTGCTTGCAGCCACCGTGCCAGCTGACCCTCGTCCCGTGCACAAACCTTCTCTGCCAGGGCTCAGCAAGAGCTCAGCCCCTTCAGAAAGGCAGCAGCCCAGCTGCTCAGGGCTCCTCTCAAAAGCCCTCCGCAGCAGGAGGAAGCAGTGAAACCATCAAAGCTGCAGGACATAAGCAGCTCTGTTCCCTGACTGTCTAAGGGACTATTAATTTAGAAAGGCACCACCACATCCTGCGCATCACTGATTCAAGGAGCAACGCAAGCAGAGCAAAAGATGAGGTAACAGGGTGCTGAGGTATCTGGGTTCCCTCGTGCTGCTGAGGCAAGGCCGGGATACGCTTGACTGCACAGGTTCCTGCCAAGATTTCCTCTCCCCCTTTAGAGATCAGCAATTCCTGGCCTGTCCATGCCACTCTCAGCTGTCCCTATGCTTGACTGATGCCCCAACAGCAGGGGACGGACCTGCTAGCTGCACACACCACTGAGCCAGCGTAACATGCTCAACTGCAGCATCACCAAGCTGAAGCCTCTTTGCACCTCCCTAAAGCTTCCGTGCATGGTACCATCACTGCCACATGGAGATGCACGCAAAGTGCTCCACAGCCGGGGTTCCTCATGGTGTGCCCCACCACTGGTGCTCCCAAGCTTCTCACCTTGCACCCACAGAGGTTCTCGGTCACATCTGCACTTGCTCCTGGGGCTGCCCTTACCTCACGGAAGCTGAGCTTCCCATCAAAGTCTTCATCCACTTCCTTGATCATGTTCTTCAGGCCCAGGTGGGTCTGGGGGGCTCCCAGTTTCTCCATCATCAGCTTGAGCTCCATGAGGTCAATGTACCCATCCCGTCCTGAGTCATACCTGTAGGGTGCAAAAGAGGATCAGCCCTCAGCACTTCCCATCCAGAACAATGCAGGTATCCTCTCAGAAGAGGAACTGGGTCTAAAGATAAAGCCTGGGGGTGGTTCAAAGCTCAGAAGAGGGGAAGCTGCACAACAGAACCAGGTACCGAAATATATTAAGCTCAGGGAAATCCCAGGCAGCCTCCATGGCCGCCTCACATGGGGGAAGTGCTCAAGGCCAGGCCACCACATGGGAGGATGAGGGTGCCCCGCTCTTCTTGATGAGGTTGCTGCTGCCCCATTTGCATGGCTGCTACAGGGGTTACTTCCCATACAGTTTGCACCAGCAGTGCACAGGCATCCCAGGGCCAGCTACTGCCTTGTCCCTCATGCATACGTAGAGGAAAAGCTCAGCCCAGTGAGGATCTCCCAGCAGAAAAGGAGTATCCTTGTTTGCAAGCACAGTACATCTTGCCCAGCTGTTAAGATGTTCCCTCTCTGAAAGGCTTTTATACCACACAAGTGCTTTGCCTCAGGGCAGCTGTTTATGCCCCAGGCAGAGCTTAAAGGCAGGCACAGAGGGAGAACAGTGTGCTAGGGTAGTTTTCACTGGGAGAAGAAAAACACTCCCACCTTGAGAGGGGAGATGGCATTAGGAGCAGGCCTGGAATGGGGACACGTTCCTATGAGAACGGGAAGGACTGCTAGAAACCTTCCCACCAGGAAATCACCCACGCTCGTACTTCAGGAGGCAGCAGGCAGTGACCCGCAGCGGCGCCTGCAAAGCTGAGCAAGGGGGAGGAAAGGAGGACCATCTTTATAACGTGCCTCCATTGATGAGCAAGCAAAGGTCAGGCTGGGAGGGTTAAGGAAGAGCAAGAGGCTCTTGCTGGAGCAGACACGACACTATGGCAGGTTGGGCAGCTGCTTCCCAGCAGCAGTCCTGCCGATGGGGCAGGAAGCAGAGAGGCTGGGAGCACCATTCCAAGCAGAGCAGAGCACTCGCTGCAGAGGGGCAGCCAGGAGATGTGGGGCTCCGAGCTCCAACAACTGGGAAAGGCAGCTCCAGGCACAGCACTGTGGCTTCCTTCTCCATCGGGAGGCAGTCAGATGCTCCCAGCTGTCATCTTACACTCGCTGTTAGCTCTCCTCTGAGGAGAGGAACGGCTGTTGCCACTATAGACCAAGGCTGCCACAATGGTGGTTTCCCAGGAAGGCGGCGCTTTCCAGCTGGCAAAGCTCATGGCCACAGAGAAAACCACAGCAGAGGGCGGCACGAATGCAGCTGCATGCGCCAAGCTGCCTGCTGGCCTGGGCAGGACATCCCAGCACTTCCCCTCTCTGCAGCTCCAGCTTCTAATCAGCCTTGTCACTGCATTCCCAGAGAGCCCCATCACCTCCAAAACCAGCTTTTGGACTTGGCTTCATAGGCCCAACTGACCCTGAATGGCAGGAAAAAAAAAGCTCCTTCTCCAGCTCCCTATCCCCAGGCTAGCTTGTATCCCTCACGCTACCAACCTGCCTGGAGTATTCAGCAAGTACATGAGTCCATCATGTGGGAAAGCGTTTGGGAAAAGTAGTGGAGTGCAGAAACCTCTACAGGAGCCAAAAACAGGTCACAGACCTCACAAGTCAGAAAAAAAGAAGGGCACGAAGTTTATCACCACAAGAAAGCAGCCAGTTAATTTTGAGCTGTGTGGTAGCACCTTCACCACGCCTGGCACTGAGCTGCCTTTTCAAGACCTCACCAAAACAATACATGAAATCCCTCCTGTCTTGATTTATCCAATTACTTTAAGTTTGGGGAGGAAAGCCTTGGGAGGTTTTCCCCTCCAAAATAAGGAATATTGTGGCAGGGAAGCACTTGTGATTCAGGGACTCTTTTGGCCCCCCAGAGCTGCCACTTGTTTGGGGCTGGTGTGTCCAGGTGCTCACAGGGCGCTGAGCCCACAGGCGAAACAGAAAGGGTTAAGCAGGCAGGCTGGGCGCTGAGCAGGCGGGCACAGCTTCAGGGCTCTGTCCTCAAGGCGAGGAGGCAGCACAAAGCCTGGATTGTGAGAAACTGGGTCTTGTCAGCAGCGGGCTGCGCTGGCAGAGCGGCGCGCTGTACCAGCCGCACAATAGCGCTCAGTGCGTGGGGCTGGGCTCGCTGGGAGCCCGGGCAGCAGCAGGGCAGGCCACTGAGGGGCTCAGGGCTGTGGTGTGTGGGAGAGGAGCTCCTGGGGACAGCGAGCACCAAGAACTGCTGCAGAGCGACAAGTCCCTTTGTCAGGGACAGGAGAAGGGACAGAGAGGACACAGGCCCTCAGCACCGGCCCTGCACAGCAGCAGCACCATGCAAGCTGCTGCATTGCCTCCCCGCCCCCACTCCCCTCCTGGAGCAGCCCGAGCATTTTAGAACTTTGGTGCATCCACCCGACAGCCACGGAGCGGCACAGCGAGACTATTTAAGGAGAGGCATATTTATAGGCCTTGGGAAAGCGTCACTTGCTCCCCATCGCGCCCCTGCCCCGTGCGCTGGCAGACGCCCAGAGCGGTGGGCACAGCCGAAGGCTGGAGCGTCCCTCCCGATGCCCCTTGTCTGCCTCGAGAGGGTTCCTGCTCACGCTGGCACAGCGGGAGCCCCAGGGCAGGCTCAGACCCTGGGCGCTGCCACGAGCGCTACCGCCAGCGGGATGAGGGTTTGCAGCGCAGCCGCATCAGCATTCCTGGCAGCAGATAAGACACCCAGCGCCTGCCAAAATCCGCTGCAACAAGGATGCGCCCAGATTCCCACGCTGGCTGTCTTCCACGCGGCTCCTGAGGTGCCGGGGAAGGAAAGCCATCGCACCAGTCGGGGAAGGAAAGGATGCTTGCTCAAGAGCAAGATATGTTGTGTACAAGTGCTGCCCAAGAAATACCCCAAGCCACTTCCCCTGGGAGAGAAAACAAGTTTTCCATTCCGGAGCAGTGACCAGGGTGCCCAGGACCAACAGTGGCGCAACACAGTGCATATGGAGGTGCGGGGGTGGTTTTGTACTGGAAAAAGGAGGAAGGAGAGGGGCAGGGAGGAAGAGGGAAATGCTAAGAACTGCATTACCAGCATTGAGGTGACAAACCCCTCCTCAAAAACCTGAAAAACATCAAGAAAAAGAAAATATGCGTAGTTGAATGAGAAATAACTTTGAATTTGGTTCTGGAGGATCAAAGAGTCCTTTGTAGGTGTCCACCCTTCTTGAGAAAGGCTGGAAGAACCTGCCCTCCACACACGCTTGCACTCCTGCACGCTTGCCACACACTGGGGGCAACAACACATCTGGCCTGCAATTCCTGCATGCTGCAACTGCCCAGCGCAGGCTTTGAAGTGAAGCACAGCAATAGTGCTGAAGCAGTAATAATGTCACCTTAAGTATTTCAAAATCTTTCCTAAGTAGCACTTTATTCCCTCTTGGCGTGGCATGGCATTGCATTGGGAGCTCAGAAAGCTATTATGCCCTGCAGGCAGCTGGAGACACAAGTGGCCTCACCAGGTCAGCAAGGTCTTGGGGCTCCTCAGCCACACAGGCAGCAGGAGCTCTCACCTCTCTGCAGGGCTCTGCACTAGGAAGGACATGCACAGCCCTACAGGAGACTGCTCTGAGGGGCACAAGGGCAAGGCGAGCGTCTCCTATGCCAAGCAAAGACCCTCCCTGCAACACTGTGCAAAGCTTCGCTCAGCACCAAGGGTGGCCCAGGCTCTCAGGACCTTCCTCCCACCTGACAGATTAAGCTAATCCAGTGGATCCTCTCTTCCTTCCCCCACACTGCCCCAGGCACAGCCCCACGCTCACCCCTGTCTCAAGTGCCTGCCCCAGGCTGCCGCTAGCTGGGGCAGGCTGGCACGGAGGGGAGCTGCCGAGTTCCTGTGAGTTTGCTTGCAAGACTCATGGACAAGAGGTTATCACGGCCACTGCGGTGCCCGCACATTGTCGGAATAGGCAGCTAATTAGGTCAGGGTATAATTAGCCTGAGCTGCAGACTTCCTGCTCCTGCTGCCAAGGGGAGGAAAAAAAAAAATCCCCAGCAGCTCCCGTAGCCACCAGAGGCCTGGCCATGCTCGCATGGCTCTCGCGTCCTGCAGCTCCCAGCAGCAGCCAGACCAACAACCCTGCTTGGCCTGGACTATGGACCAAGAGATGAACAGAAAAGATCATCTGAAGAGCACCTGGGTAAAGTCCTTTCCACCTTGGGCCTCCTACATGGAGACCTCACCTGAACATGGGACTCTGGCACAGAGGGGAAGACCCCAAGGGGGTCACAGGAGCTGGGTATCCAGGACTGGAGGAATTTTCCTGTTACCCACACCCTGTTCAGGAGGACAGGGCTGAACTTGGCCCTTCTGACAGCCTTGCTATTAGTCACAGGGAAGTCCCATGCCCAGAAGGGCATCACATCAAGGAAACTGAACCCCAAGGGGTCGGGAAGCACCCACACGCAGTTTGGTTCTTGGCTCCCACCCTGACTCAAAGCAGCCTGAGTTCTGACTCTGCTGTGCCCCAAGACAGATTTGGGCAGAATTACAGCTTTAGCAGCACTTCCCTGCTCAAGAAACTCCTGATCCCAACACAAGTCTGCAACCCCAAGCATGGTCACCTCTCCTAGCAGGGCTCATGAGGAGAGCTAGAGGCAAGGCTTGTCTAGAGATTTCCAGCTACACAAGAAGTAAGAAGAGGGGAAGAGAAGGAGAAGAACGGGACTTGTGGGGCTCCTGGGGAAGCTCTGGATCCCAGCTCACTCCTGGACAGGAAGGTTTCAAGGAGAGTGCAGGCTTTGCCCTACACACAGGGAACACAAGCGGACGTCCCAATGGAGTCAGGAGAGCAAACTGATAAGCAGCAATTTCAGACAGGAAGTTTGACCTTAAACCTGACAAGCCGCAGCAGAGGGAAGATATCCTGCTCGCGCAGACATGTCCCTTGCTAAAGTCACCGAAGAGGAGCCCGGAGCGCAGCACCCGGGGCCCACAAACCCCACCGAGACCCAAAGCGCGGGCAGGAACCGCGG